AAAAAAAATACAGCAAACACAGGATTGGGGGCCAATCCAACTACCCAGCATATATTCCCACACCTAGAGCAAGATTTCTCACTCCCCCCTTACCTCGATAAGCAGGAGTCGAATCTTGATGGTCGCCCCCTCTAGGTTCCCCTTCGTCTTCAGAGAGAAAGGAGGAAAAAGATTAGAAAATGAAGAAATGAATTTTAAAGAGTGCAAAACGCTCTATTTATAGGCACCAGGCCGCGGCCAGAACGGCCTGTTCCAAATCCGGAACGGCCCGTTCTGGATTCCTTCGTCACCTCAAAAATATGCCACCGGAACGGCCCGTTCTGGACTTATTAATGTTATGTAAAAAATGTAACCGGAACGGCCCGTTCTTCATTCAGAACGGCCCGTTCTGGATTCAAAATTTTCTTATAAAATCGTGTACCGGAACGGCCCGTTCTTAAACCGGAACGGCCCGTTCTGGTTTCAAATTTTTCTCATAAAAACATGTCTTGGAACGGCCCGTTTCGATGCAAGATTTATATGTTATTCTAGTAGTTTGGAACGGCCCGTTCCAATTTCGGAACGGCCCGTTCTGGGCTACTAAAATATAAAATATTTTTTTCGTAAATAATTATCATTAAAATATTCATATTCATTAAAAATATCTTAAATACTTTATAAAATCCATTTAAATGGTTAAAATAATCATAAGAATTAATCTCCATATATAAAAATAATAATAACAATTAATTATTACATTAGTAAAAATTTTCAGGGTGTTACAAGCTAAACATCAACATAGACTTGCAAATCATTAGATGAAGCCTAACGAACAAGCAGACAGAGTCATCACTCTCAGGATCAAACGAATGATCAAAAGTAAAATGTGTATCCAGACGTAGTTGAAAAGTAATGAAGCGCGTCTAAAGTCCACTAATCACATTGAGTTAAATCATATAAGAAACACAAAAGGATATCAAACGTTTGTACAGAAAGAAGAAAAATATAGGCAAGTGTGGAGTTACAAGTCAAAGCTGCATGCGTCAGAGAAAGGACACCTACTTTTCATAGAAAGACAGCACCGCAACAGCTAAACTGATGGGACAAGTACAAATATGCATAGATCATGATTAAAGTCAGACATTGGAGTAATCAACTACATAAAAGGATTTCACGTATACAAACAAACATTTAATGCAAGATCAAATGCATTAAATGAAAATATTTAAATAGCCATGAACAAGCCTCCATCTGTAACGACATGAAGCTACGCTCCAACAGGAAAATTTGAATTCAAACAACGGGCGAATTTATCAAGTGGCTATAAGTATCAATAATAAAAGTATTTATTATTCTAGTCTCTTCTCTAATATCAATTATCAATCATCTTCTAAATTCAAGTATTCTTTATCATTTTCACTACTATTACTGTAGTAATTTTCATTTTTGAAAATTGAATTCCCAAAAAAGCCCTAATGCCTTTGTTCAGGGATGTATTGGTCTACCATTTGGTCCACTACGGTCACTACACTAAAATGCTCCACTATGGAAGCACATGAAGCAAGCAGGAGCCTCTCCACTTCACCTATGCCGCTACAGTGCGCTATTTAAAATCCTGTGCCAAATCACTCTCTTGCAAGAACAAAACAGTAACAGTAGCAATACCATGAAAGAACCCCTACTAACAACCAACAATGAATATAACTATACATTGTCGAGCATAATTATACTGTAATGATCTGCGTAGACATTTTATAGTGGAGAAAAGCAAGCAGATGCACCTTATCTTTACAACAATGTGACCAAGTGAAACTCCATTTCAACACATTAAGTGGTAAAATTTCTACAAACAACATAGATGGGTCTGCCCAAGAAATATAAAAAATAGGCATAAAGCAATGCATCAATTGGACAACCAACCTTAACCATAGTATCCCGCATAAAGTCATATTCGAATCTTTTCAGCTGAAGTTGAAGGACGGGAGGAAAATCAATAAATAGAACACCCTTCTTAGCATCCTGAAATAATCATGTACCATTAAAATTACATTAGTTTATGCATCAAGCTCAATAAAAATAAAACTGCTTAAATTTTTTCAGTCAGACAGTTAATACAAGCAAGCAACTAATCAAAATATCAAGAGATTGCTTCAAGAAAGTATTTTTAAGTTGAGCTACACAAATTATTTCCAAGTAATATAATCAGAAAATTATTAAGTCATGCAATTATTCTTAAACAAAAAATGTTAAAAATAGTCAGTTAATATTGTCAGTCATCCAATAGAGCCTTCTGGTATAAAAAAACGTCATTCTTACATTACTACATTAAAAAGAATTATATCTAACGCAGATATGAGTTGTGATTGAGAAGCGTCTAACAATTTCAAGAAAATCTACCTCAAGGCTATATGAACAGCAGGAGAAAATTAGGAATATAGGGGTGGATCAGTGAATATACAATATAAGGTTAGGAATGATTCTATTCAATTTCAAGAGAAAATTAGGGTTGAACTACAGGAGACAAGATGACAGAAACTTGTGTTAGGAGGTTTGCTCATATGATAAGACATAGATGCTCCAGTGACAAAAATAGGTTTTCAAATAGAAGATATCCGTTGAAAGGTGGAGAAATGATTGTATTCAATTTCAAGAGAAAATTAGGGTCGAACTACAGGAGACAAGACGACAGAAACTTGTCTAAGGAGGTCCTCCACTAGTTATCAATTATGTCAAAATAGTGGCACTAGAGTACAAAGACAGGGCATGATGGAGGTCCTCCACTCTCAAACAGATATTGTCATTGCTTTTCAACACAGTAGAAATAGCAGTCAGTCACAAATAGCGGAAATAATGGACCAATAATCCAAACCCTAATTATGTTATTGAGTAAGGGAACTCCCTAATTACCCACACTAAAACTCAGAGTAGAAGTACCAAATTCCTTAAATACCTGTAACACTCATGTAGCAGCACCAAATTTGGTATTGCTGTTTTAGATGTTTAAAAACCAATAATATTTGTTTCAGCCTTTATTCTTCTTCAACCCACTCAGGAGACTCTTTCCAAGGTCTGTGTCAAGTCTTGCTTGTTAGATTATATGTTCTTATATCTATATATTTTGTATTTTATATTTTGCCTCTATACAAGGCTGCTGTACCAAGGGAGATATGGAGGTTTGTAAGACACCAGATTTTTATTCAAACTTTCAAACCTCAAGTTGGTATCAGAGTGGGTTTGATCCCACTCTACAGCCCCGTCTTGTCCAACGCCAATCTCTTCCATCTACCGCTGTCCTCCATGACCAATTTTTTGGACAACCTAAGGGTTTGGTGCACCTCGTTGAGTGTGACCCAACCCTATTGATTTCAAGGACATTGGAGTCCCCATGCACTCTCACTCGTCGATCCAAGTTCCTATTCCGTCAGGTGCATGTGGCTCACGCAGCATTGTTTGCTCATCGGAACTTCTTCACGCTAGCACTGTTGTGTTCGTTGACCTCTTCTAAGTCTATTCCAGTCCTCAGTTTATTGTTTTCCACTACTGTTTGGAACGTAATTACTGTTCATCTTCTCCGTGAGTCTCTTTTTCACATGTTATAGCATGATGATGACAACTTTTGTCCCTAGTTCTTCAATAGCCTATATTTCTCAATCCGTGGAGAGTCTAGGTCCGTGGATAATAGATTTTGGTGCTCCTAACCATATGTCCATTATCTAGTGGTGGCTCCTTATTCCATTCTATTTCTTCACCTAAAACTCCTCACTTTAACACCTTAACCAATGGATCCAAAGTTGTCTCTCAAGGAGTCGGTCAAGTTTCTCTCACACCCTCCTTAAATTTAGAATCTATCCTTTTTGTTCCAAATTTTGCTTTTATTATAATCTCCATAAGTCAACTAACCAAATCATTAAATCGTTTTGTAGCCTTTGATGCCAATTCCTTTGTGATACAGGAACATGGTACGGGTCAGTTGATTGTAAAAGGACATGAATCCAGAGGACTCTACTACTCTAGAACCAACCCCTCTACATCTTGTCTTACATCTCAATCTCTTAAGCTTTTACATGATTGCTTAGGTCATCCACACTTGTCAAAATTGAAGAAAATGGTCCCTAGGCTTCGTAAACTTCAAGTCTTAGACTATGAGTCTTGTCAATTAGGAAAACATGTTAGATATCTGTTTCCAAAGAGAACTAAAACAAGATGTAACTCTGCTTTCTCTACCATTCACTCATATATTTGGGGGCCAAGTCGTGTCACATATTTTGGGTTAAGATACTTTGTTACATTTATTGATGAATATTCTCGATGTAGTTGGTTCTATTTAATGAAAGATCGATCTGAAATTTTTTCCTATTTTTGTGTCCTTTTTCAATGAAATTAAGAATCAATTTGGAAAAGAAATAAAAATACTCAAGAGTGATAATGCTAAAGAATATTTTTCTTTAGACCTTGCCCCTTTTCTAACCTCACATGGTATTTTACATCAATCTACCTATCCTCACCCCATAACAAAATGGTATAGCAGAAAGAAAAAATAGACATCTGGTTGAGGCTATGCGTACCTTATTGTTGGGTGCCAATGTTCCCGTGCATCATTGGGGTGATGCAATTCTTACAACCTATTTTTTGATAAATAGAATGTCATCCTCCTCTCTTCAAAACAAAATGCCACACTCGGTGCTTTTTCCACATGAACCTTATTTCATGTTACACCTCGTATTTTTGGTTGTGCTTGTTTTGTCAATGATGTCTCAAGGTCTAGACAAGCTCTCTACCAAGTCTATTAAATGTATTTTCTTGGATATTCTCAACTTCAAAAAGGGTACCATTGCTACTCCCCGGACACTAGACAATATTACATGTCGGTTAATGTTACCTTCTTTAAGAAACTCTTGTTTTCTCTTCTTCAATGCAGGTCTTTGAATTTGTCCCAAATGTCTTACCAATTCCATGTTTTGAGTCAATGTTGTCTCCTCAAGAGGAGTGTGGATTAGTTTGTAAATTGCATCGATCTCTTTATGGACTCAAACAATCTCCCAAGCTTGGTTTGGAAAATTTAGTCATGTAGTGCAAGAGTTTGGTTTGAAAGAAGTGACGCAGACCATTCAGTATTCTAGCATCATACCTCTCCTAGAAAGCACATTTAACTGATTGTTTACATTGATGATATAGTAAGCACAGGAAATGATGCAACTAAAATTTCTCACTTAAAAAAACACTTTTTTAGTCATGTTCTGACTAAAGATCTTAGTTGCCTAAAATACTTTCTAGGTATAGAAGTTGCTCAATCAAAGGAGGGCATTGTGATTTCCCAAAGGAAATATGTCGTCGACATACTAGATGAAACAAGCATGACTAATTGTAGGCCCATTGATAGTCCTATGGATCCTAATTAGAAACTGATGGCTAATCAAGGTGAACCATTTGTAGATCCGGAGAAATATGGGAGATAGGTTAGTGAGCTTATTTGTCTCACAATTACGAGACTTGATCTTTCTTTTGCAATAGGGATTGTCAGTCAATTCATGCAAGCCCCTCACATTGATCATTGGAATGCTATTACACGTATTGGTAGATACATCAAAAAGGCTCCAGGTCAAGGTTTATTATATGAGGACAAAGGGAACAGCCATGTTTTTAAGTACTGTGATGTTGATTGGGCAGGTTGTTTTTGGACCAACATTCTACTTTTTGTGTTTTTGGAAATATCATTCTTGGGGTCCACTGCCCCACCCACTATAAAGGATTGACCACTATGATTGTAGATCAATTTGTGATCAAGTAAACCAGAAAATTCTAGACTTGATTAAAAAGATATCATAAATAACCTGATCTATTGAATATCAAAGTTCACTCAATTAAATAAATATCATTAATAACTTGGAACAATCTGCCTTGCAATCAGGAAGCCATTGGGTCAAATCCAGGACACAGCCTCTCCATTTACAGGGGTACAGAATGACAAGAAGCAAAGGAGGGATAAAACAGAGAATGACAGGCTGGATAACAAAAGTTTCTTTTTCCTGCCTTAGAAGAGTTGTTCCAATAGAACATGTAACTAGTCAAGCCATCAGTGGTTCATTACCCCCCCCCCAACAAGCAAATAAGAACTGCTATGAATATGTTGCTTTCGATCAAAAAGACAGGGAGAGAATGAGAGATAGAGAACTCATTAGATGACACAGAGATAATACCCAACACCATGGATAAGATATCCACCAAACATAAAAGGCATATGAAAAAGAAAACATAAACAAAGATTCTCTATGATAGTATTATTTGTCAGCTAAGGCAGAAAACCTCTAGAAGCTTTCCCTTCAGATAGTTTAGCTAGATGTATATAATAGAAGTCAATTATTGTTTTAAGTTTGCCAGGTACGTTACTAGAGCTGATATGCAAACTAACTGCACTATCAGACTCTTCAATGCAAGATCCTTCTTAATGAATAGAAAACAGAATTCATCTCTATCTCCCTATCCTTCAACTTTTCCAATAACACTTTAGGGATTTTTCAGCATTTAACACAAGCACAACCAAAATCTATGTAACTGTTAAATTACTGTTTCCTGCACTTTTTCAGCTAATGTGCAGGAAGATGCATCACAGTTTTATAGATGCACCCGACATCTGACCAGCTAGTACTGATGCAAAAGACTAAAGTGATTCATCAAACCCACAATTCATTCATTTTTTAAATGGAAATGGTTCATAAGACCATTAGAATAATATCAAAACAAATTTAAACAAAAATAAGAAAATTTCTTTGAAACACAAGGTTGACTTCTCTAAATGACTGAAAAAAAATTTATAAGCTACTTCCACATTTATGAATAGCAACAAACCTGTAAACCATACTGTTCAGCATGATATTTGTTATCCCCCTCAAGACGTTCAACTTCTACATACTTATCAAAGGAAGCATAAACATCACGACAACCTTTGACATCAAGCTGAAGGTCTAATATGCATAAGTAAAACAAAATTAGAATTATACAACAAGAAAGAACTAAAATTGATATCAAAATGCATAAGGAAGTACCATAAAATGACTCCTTTCTAGTTGATTTGTAGTCTACATTGATGCATTCTATGTAATTCATATGGTGCCCTTCAAATAACTTTTGTATGGTCCCCTCAACAACAGTTCCCTGAAGACAAGTAACATAAAACAACCATTTGATATGGTCACTCATCAAGAAGAATCATCAATAAAACTACCAAAGCTATTGTCAATTCTCATACCTTCATTTTGTCTTCAAGTTTTTCACAGAGAACCCGATTTAGTTCTTGAACATCATGCTGCATGAAAGAATCATATGTATCCCATCCAAAAGACTTTGTCAGCTCCTTGGTCGCAACACTGGTGTCACTATATTGAAGCTTGTAGAATAAACTCTGCAAAGCCAAAGGGATGCTTCCAGAGGGCATATCATTCTCAGTTGTTGGCATATGATACACGGCCTGAAATGTAATATCCAGGAACCAATTTCCCATTACTTTGCAACAGAAAAGTGAACTGTAAGCAAAACAAAAATAAGACAAACAATTCTAACCTTTCTAAAGTAAGGAATATGGTACAAGGTTTGGAGTAGAGAATTCATATAACAGGTAGCTCCTTGGTTCTTAAGCCCAACATAGCCAGTCTCCTTCTTTGAATCATAAGTCCAATAATCAACAATCCTACGAACAAGAACCTCAGCTTCAACTATGAGAGTATCATTCACAAGATACCCTCTACTAGGATCATACAATTCACCAAGAGGCATAAAGGACGTAAAACCCCAATCACTTTCACGTGCATTAAATTGGTGCTGTGTGTCTGCATAGTGAGTAAATTAAGTTACAATAAGATCATATAGGCATTGATAAAAACAAAAAATATGTGCATTTTCACTTCCTCGTTTTATAAAAAAAAATTGAGACAGCACAGAAAAGTTCATCTAGCAGAAATAGATAATAGAACTCATCATCTTGTTTTGCACCTAATGTTTAAACAAGGTGCAAGCAAGTGGAACCAAAGGTTAATCTATGTCATCTTGTAAAAGTATGGAACCAAAGGCTAATCTGTGCCATATTGAAAAAGTGTAAAGATCAAAATGCAGGGACTACCTTTCCTAACAGAATACTTATTATGAATTTGATTAACAACTGCCAAGCTAAACTGTGCATATCTACTCCAACCATAGGGCAAACTAGCTGAATCTGCAACATCCAAATACATGGACAAATAGTCCACATTGTTTCCTTTTGGGAAAATAAGCACACGCCTGCCAAGCATAAAACCAAGTTTGGGAGGTAATCACTAAAACAAGTATACATACCAGAGCATATTCAAGAAAAATCAACATCATTAACCAGTTAAGTAAATCTCATAGAAAAATACCATTTATAGCCACCAACAACAAATATTTCTGAATACAACTTCTTCGTATTCAGCCTTGAAAAGTTGTCAATTCTCCATGTGAATCTAGAGGACGGAGGATCCTCAACTGGCTGACTCTCCACAGTAATAGCAGTTTCAGGTTGTTGAGCTACAACTAATGATCATCAAAGAAAAAAAAAAAAAAAAAAAAAAAAAAAAAAAAAGGGAACAATCAGCTATCATATCTGGAATTAACTGAAAACGTGAATTACCAAAAAAAAAAAGAAATAATGTGACCATAACTGAACTAGACCCTCCAATAGCTTACCAGAAAAATAAGTAAAAATGAGTTTAGAGAATTAATTACACAATCAACAATCTCATAGAAATTCCACAACTTCCAAAATACAAACCACCAAATGATTAACTGAAAAGCCTTTATATTAATACCAATCCAAATCACAAAGCAAACTCGCTAACAAATTTCCTAAGTCTAAACTACGAAAGCAAACACAATACCTAAAATCCTCAAACCAATCTTTCACTCAGCTCCCACTCTCCCACCAAGCAACGCATAGACTACTTTCCCGAACCCTCCAAAACAATTCAATTAAATCACACAGAAGCTACCAGCACTGAAAAAACCACGGCTCCTTAAACCAAAAACAAAAATTAAAAAATTAAAAACACAGATCAAAGGAAGCACGAGAACACCAAACGAAAACTACCTTCCATGGGTTGGCGATTGTTCTCGGGATCCGCGTGCGGCACGAGCACCTCCTCGTCCTCTTGCTGCTGAACAAAACAAAAACCAAAACCAAACACGTCACATCACCCAAGCTCGGATCCACCGCGACTCACACCGAACCCCCAATCGAAAACACAAAGCCCCTAAATCAAAGCCCCGAACTGCACTAGGAATCGCGAAATTGCGCGAAACGCTCACTCGCTCAGATCAAACCGACGACAAAAAGAAAAACGAAAAAGGAAACCCCCACCAGTGGCACCACTCGGAAGTGGAAAAAATCAAATTGAATAACACAACTCGTTGATTGGGGCAATATCGCGCCAAGAGAAGCACGACACGCAAGTTATTACAAATACGAGCGAAACGGTGCGCGCAAGTGTGTGTGTCTCTGTGTGTGTGAAAGGTTACGGAACGAACGCTTACATCAATGGGAGCGGGCATCATCACGGTCATGGTGAATTGGAACCTGCGAGGGTTATCGTTGTAGAGAGAGAGAGAGAGAGTGGAGAGGGAAAGAGAGAGAGTAGTGTTATGAAAACAGATCAG